AAGAAGGCAAGAGAGCAACAATTTTTCTGAGAGGCGCTCTTGCTGAAGGTGAACCTAAGTTGGGCTGAAAAGCTGGGCATGGATTCCGCACATGTCTAGCAGACGGGCAGCGTTGAAACCCGTCCAACCGTCACAATTCTTGACAATCATTGAGAAGGGAAGCCAGTGACATCAAAGCCGTTTTGAGAGTGATGGGTGGCGGTGATATCGTTTATCGGCTTGGCGATCAGAAAGCAGGGAAATCACCTTCATGGTCGCTTTCCCCGGACCCAGAGTAGGTCCAGATTCTAGGGCTTTCGCTGCAATATAAAGATGGTTCATGTACGTTTCCGAGTCCTGGTCAGAACGGGAGTCACTGACGTCATAAACACCTTTGAATTCCGCTTCGCAGGCTGGTGGAAGGGGAGCTGTTTGTGGCGGACGATAAGTGGGGTCCGCTGACGTTCATGAAGTTGGTGCACAAAGCATTCTACGGCGGGCTGAAAAAGATGGAGAAACAGGTAAGGCATCCTCTAGCTGAAGACTAGGATAAAATGGTTTGTAGAGTCGGAGATTAAGTGCCCTGCGCCAGCATTTCAAATATTTCCTGATCCTTCTGCGACTCATTCTCTTTCCTTGTGCGTCTATGAGGGGTAACTTCGTCAAGATCGGCGGAGTCCCCTGCCCTCAAGAGGTATTTCAAGAGAGAGATTTGATTCGGCACACAACAGAAGAGCTCATAAGGCCTTCTGTCAGAGAATGAAAACTTCGATTTTGCGGCTATGAAGACCCTGGTCTCTACTCCGACACTGGATCGGGCCAGGTGCAACTTGGACTTTGCACCGAATCTCAACAGATCGAAGAACCTGACCATAGACATCAAACCTTGATCCTATATATAAAGCGATGGACATTGTGGCAACAGTTGACCGGTCGATTGTCGCAACTGTTGACCGCCTTCAAAGTCCGTGATTCGCGGACATGTTTAGGCTGTTCCCGAACAATCTTGTCTCACTTTTGCCGCCGGCCGTCGAAATGACTGTGAGTCCAATCCGCAGCCCACGATTCTTCATCTTGTGAGACCCATGATAACATGATGGCAAAACGCGGCCGCTATCTCAGAGCTCTCTCCGGGGCGAAGACATTCAAGGGGGTGTGACTGCCTCTAGTTAGTCATCTGAGTTTCCAGCGTTCGATCCGTTCTTTTAACTCCCCAGGCTGCCAGTCTAGTGGAGGCGCCCAGCAAAGTGACGCTTCGCAAGCTCAAGGTGACGTGGGACATGATGGCTCTGTTGCACGAGGAGCACTCCGTGCACGAGGACAAGGTGAGCTGGCGTTTCCGAGAATTGTACGCGCTCGACAAGCAAAAGGCGCATGTTTACCGTTGCTATGTAAAACGGGTTGAGAAACTCCGTCCTGTAACAGGTCTGCTTAGCCTTTCCAGTCGGCGCCTGCCAAAAGTGACAACATGCGGGCCTTGATCTGACCTTTGTAAATACCTCGACTACAGACGCCTCGGATGCAGACGCCGTATGGATCAACTTGGAATCCTCTTTCCTGACGTACCCCTTTCAAAAACGAGAGCGCGCAAAAGCTGGCCTGTCCGGAGACGTCTGATAATGAAACTTTTAATCGTCCGTCTGATCTTGAGTAACGTTCTCACATATCATTGCAGGTCCTGTACCCGTACTTTGAGTCCTTCTTCCCAGGAGTGACCGCTACCGCTCAGCACGAACACGAGGGTCATCACGAGCAGCTGCAGGCGATCGGGGCTCTCTTTGAAGGGTTCGAAAAGGCAAACGGTGAGTAGATGTGACGAACCCAGTGACTAGTTTAGGGCCGCGCTGCCAATAACTGATGGCGCCCCTAGTAAGCAGGGTTAATTCATGCCGAATGGACTCGGAAAATTGATCCAAGATTGGCACTGATTCAAAGTTCATTAGCTGCTATTGGAGCGCACGTTTGACGTCAAGCCTGCTTCACTCAACGCCGTGAGTCAAACTTCGCTCTTCGTGGTTGGTGACAAAGGCTAGGAAAAACGTGGCCGTCAAAGTCGCTTACGTCACCTTTCCCGCAACTCTCACGCTTCGATCGCCCGCTCCCAAGAATTGTTTCTTCTTTATCATGTCTGCTCGAGTCCTTGTCATGTTTGGGTGGCAAATGCTGCTTAGTGTTCGCCTTAGGAGACGAGGTCCTGACGCTGTCATACCAAAACATAAAGCGCGTCTGCTACCTTGAGTTCACATTATAATGCACCTATGTGTCCACTTCAACCGTTCTGCCTTCTTTTGCAGGCGACGAAAAGACTTCGCTTGCCGTCAAGATCCAAAGCGCGCTGGCCGACTATTCCGCGGTTTTGACGGAGCACATGCTCATGGAGGAGAATCACCTCAATCCACTCGCGCGGAAGCATATGCCCATTGTGATGCACATCGAAGCTCTCCGCAAGGTGAGGGACTCTCAAAACTCCCTTTGCGTACGCTCATTCAGGAGCTGTTCCTTACAGGGAATTTTTTGCTTTAACCAAAGATGCTTTTGGGCTGGCTATGGGCTGGTTAAGAATTGGTGAATATTGCGTGCACACTTTACAAGCTACCGCTTGCCTTATTGCAGGTCTACGAGGTGACGTCACCCGCCACGTGGGTCAAGCTGCTGCCGTTCATTCTGGAGTCCCAGGAGCTCTACGGCTACCGAGTGCGCACCCTGCGCTGCCTCCGCTGGGCCATGCCGGAGCGCATGCAGCAGATCGGCCGCCACGTGTACCAGGTCAGCGTCTAACCCAACCCGGTTAGCCTGGAAACACCTTGCACCATTCCCGAGCCTTCTAGAAACGCTTTCAGCTCTTTTTCGATTCCGTCTGGCCGCCTCCTTACGTTCAGCGGGAATCGGAAATGTTGATGAATGCAAGCAGATATCTGAGGGGATCAGATGCTGTGGTAAGCTGCATTTTCCAGGAAAGAAATGAACATGCAACTTGGACATGCTTTTTCCACAATCCCTTTTGAACCGATCTTATCAAAGGATAAGCATGATTTCGTATTTGGTGAACGCTGTCATAAATCGCTAGTCACAATTTCGGGTATGGTGAACGCTCTCAGAATAGGCTAGTCAAAATGGCAGGTTTTTCGAAATTGCAGGGCGTGGAACTCCCATTGTGGAAGCGGCTCATCGTCGACGTTCCTGAGATGGTGCCACGTGGACTGGGCGGGTGCAAAATTCTGGGCCGCCCGGGCTGGGAGCGCTACTACTAGGGGAGTTCCTTACTCGGGTCCCAGATTCCACCGCACGATGTTGACAGTCCTGGAGGTGTACTGGCGAAGTTGATAGAGACTCTTTCTGCGAGAACTTGTATACAACCACATCGTACTGGTTGTAGTGTTCCACGTGGCCTTTTAGCGTGGTGTCAAATATGGTTCGCTTCGCTGATCATCGGACTAGCTCGTCCACATCATCTTACGTCAAATCATATGCTGCTTCACGAACGCAGCTGGTTCCGAAAGTCAAGCACCTTAGGAGTTGGAATTTCAGGCCGGTAGCTGGTAGCTCGCTAGTGCCCACCAGAGGTCAACACGTGGCTCGTTTAGGTTTTTCGAACCGTCCGATCGATCGTGCCCTGCGGGCCGGAGCTGGTCACTACATTGTCCGGCCGGTTGTCAAAAAGCGCACTACGATTTGCCCGGGGCCCGCAAGATACGGGGCTGTTCATCCAGCGGGGCCACGTCAAATGTACGGAATTGAACTGGCCAATGAAACAGGGGTGGTACATATACCACGTGGGTTGGTATAGGACCGCCGGTCCCGTCAGGCTGTGAGTCCCCGGTCACTAATTCAGCGTAACATCGCCTGCAGACACAGCCAATTCAGCTGCCCGGTGA